CAAATGATTAAGACCCATGTTATTAGCTTAGTTACATCATACGTAACTAGTTAGGGACCTCTAGACATCCTACAGTTGTCATGGAAACAACTTGGCGTTTTACTACGAGAATTGATCATAGCACACCGACAAAGGAAATTATGAAGAGGATAGGATAGAAGTAATTTATGTATAAGCAGATAACTAAAACATCTCCCTCATTGTGTTAAATACAGTACAATGTGGGTCTTTTTTAAGTTCTGATATATTAGATTGGTTTGAAAATTAGATTTCCATTGCGACGCCACGTTGCTGTGATTGTGAAGTTGTGCAAGCTAGACAGCTAGTAATGCGGCTTTTGACGTGTACGAAATAGTTAAGACTTTTAGTTTTATAACCCACAATTAGGAAATAATTGTTTTATCTGAAGCTAACTTCTATAAGTTTGGGCATATACTAAGCACTTGGTAATCAACTGTTTTATGTGACGCAGGTGTAATTACCAGATTGATTCTGATATGAAAATACGACGACATGTTTTATGATAACTTTTTGACTTCATGTCATTTATTTCCGAAAATCTTAAAATGACTGTGGCCGTTCACATACGTGTTACACGTGGATGGATTAAAATAGTAACATATTTGAATACACACATACACACACAACGCACAGGTAAATGATTTAACACAGGTGATCATGGCTCATGTTATTGATTTTTGACACGAACCTGTTAATTTAACATGGATACGATTGTATGATGTGTTTACATGACTAATGTTTGTCGAAAAATAACAGAAATCCTCATTAATTTCTATATAGGACACGAAGACGAATAAAGAAAGTAAATCAATCCATCATCATCATCATCATCATCATCATCATCATCATCATCATAATCACTATAATCATCATCATCATCATCATCATCATCATCATCATCATCACATCATCATCATCATCATCATCATCATCATCATCATCATCATCATCATCATCATCATCATCATCATCATTTTAATCCTCATTATGATTGCCATGGTTTATTTCTTATTTCGAAACATATTTTAATCATCACAGTGTGTTGATGATAATACATTATTGTAATAATCATAGATTATTTTCATTCACAGACATACCTTTGGCCACAGGTGCCATGTACACTAGCATAGTGTACATACTCTGTTAGGGATTGTAGCTCAGACTCCTGATTAGCAGATACAAGCACATGTGATTAACACGAGGACAGACTAAACATGATGCGTATATGTTATAGAAGAAATTACGAATTAAAGATCTGAGGAAGTAACGATATACATCAAAGAAGAGACACTTTTATTGTGAAATGTATTGTTGTGAAGCTGGTAAGAATGAAATGAACAGCGTTATGAATTCTGTTACATAGGAAACATACGTTGTTTATCTTATCTTGGAACTGTTTGATAAATCTGTCAACTAAAATAACTGTTTATTAGAAATAGGGGAATATAAACGTACTCGGTATACAGTTGTGTCAAGGCCAGTAGGATTAAAAACTGGGGCGAAGGAAACAACAGCGATGGTTTTATTGCAGAGAAGAAATAATAACGTTAAGGACTCTGATTATACTTTACGCGTGTTTGAAATGTCCATGTCTGGTAAACCTTGCCCGGTAATACAACCAACCGACTCAGATCAAAGTCAATTAGTTCAGGAGATCGAGAGGTCGTAGTTCCATACTGGCTGACGGTATCTACATCGTTCAGAGATAAAATCATTGAGATGAGAAGGTAGGAGAGAGGTGCTCTATTAGAGCATTATGTATATGATCTATAGGTAACCGGTTGATATCAGCTCCCGGAGTTTCGTCTTCGTCAGAGCGAGTGAATTGCACATGTCCCAATGAATTCGCTGTTTATTTTTGTGGGTTAACGTCATTGTATTGTTTATACATTCAGATAGAAACAAAAATAACAAGTTTTCGTCATCACTTAATGATCTCCGTAATATTAGAGTATACCTACTACATCACATCCTTATTTAATCTCAGGATATGTCTTTAAATACAAAAGTTTCGCTGATTTCTCAAATCTCTTCATTTCTTATATGTATATAGATATATATTTACACCCCGTGTTGCATTAACTTATATGTATATAGATATATATTTACACCCCGTGTTGCATTAACTTATATGTATATAGATATATATTTACACCCCGTGTTGCATTAACTTATATGTATATAGATATATATTCACACCCCGTGTTGCATTAACTTATATGTATATAGATATATATTCACACCCCGTGTTGCATTAACTTATATGTATATAGATATATATTTACACCCCGTGTTGCATTAACTTATATGTATATAGATATATATTCACACCCCGTGTTGCATTAACTTATATGTATATAGATATATATTTACACCCCGTGTTGCATTAACTTATATGTATATAGATATATATTTACACCCCGTGTTGCATTAACTTATATATATATATAGATATATATTTACACCCCGTGTTGCATTAACTTATATGTATATAGATATATATTTACACCCCGTGTTGCATTTACTTATATATATATAGATATATATTCACACCCCGTGTTGCATTTACTTATATGTCGTTAGAACACCAAATTGCAGAATATGAGACTGTCTACTACCATTTGGTAACAGTTCAATGCTTAAATGTTGATATTTTTGATTTTACTATAATATTTAAATTAATTTCAATTTTAACGTATCAAATATTTCTACCTCATTTGGGGATAGCACATAAACCTTACTAATTTGAAATGCAATGGTGAATACATTTTAAGACTAGGGCCATGTAGATTTTAGGCAAGTTATGTAATCTTAGGGTTACTTCTTTCTGAATATAAACCGTAACTACCTACCAAGACTTTGTCCACGGAAGATCACAGTTTTTTTTATTAGAGAGCAGTAGATTCATAAGAAGCTGTATAGGTGATCGTAGTAATAGGATAACTGTGCAGTGTTTTGATGTAGGTGGTCATTTTTCCGTCGACAATGAGCCTGACGACATACAAGATCCATTCTGCTTCTGTTGTATTTACGTAACGACAAAAAGGTCGCATTAATATGAATGAACTGTTTCTTGTGTTTATCTTTCAATTTCGTGACTTAATACATTTAAGAAATCCTAACCATCTGTGACTAAGAACTGTTTAAATGTGCCATCTTCACCAGATTAATGTCTCTAAGAATCTTGTTGATGTTGTAACTATGGCGACGTCTGCCTGAGACTATTCAGTGTTCGCAAGACGACTCGAACCTAGCTCAACAGAAAGAAATCCGTAGGTATTTTTCTGTAACAGTATCCACAAAATACCTAACCCTAACCCTACAATACGGAACATTTATTGGACATTATCCAACGCTTCCTCACCCTGATCAATGGTTGATTGAACAGTTGTTTGCTGGTTCTGAGTAAGACGTTCCTGAAATATTTGATTCTGACTGTACTCGGTACATCAATGGAATCTCCATACCAAGCATCCAATAAAAGTACAAAAAAAAAAAAAAACCTTTTAAGAGCGTCCAACCATTCGTGTTCATTTGAACAGGTTACGTTATTTTAATGTCATACCACCCATAATACTGGCATGCATGCTTCTTTTACGCATAAATATACTGATTGTATCAAAAGTTTGTTCGTGTCGTTTTTTTTTCAAGTTTCTCAAAAACTTGCATTTTATCCCTTCAGCGTTGTACACGAATTTTTCTCTCTACATCGGCCCTTTCGCACAAAGGCAGACATTGACGTTTCAAGTTTCAACATACGTACATTTATCATCCACACTAGATCTATATATATTGACCTTTCCGCACCTTTCTCACAAGGCCAGCACTGACCTGTTGCTCAGTGCTTACATACACATTTCGCACAACGACTGTAATGAAACTATTCCTTAAACGCCTACATTAACCTTTTTCCAGTGCTGCGTATGCAAATTTTCCGAAATGTCTTCACATGAAAATCACCCTAGCTTCATATGAAAAATATAATCCTCGTCCTTTCGCCCAGAATAGACGAAGTTTAACAAACCTGAAATATCGTTCCCTCGTGTTTTCGCTCCGAAAAACGAGAATGAACGTTTGTTTATTATCACTTTTGCGGGGCGAAAACTCGAAATGATGAAAAGATAAGGTTTCTGAATCCGAAAATAAAAAATTAAGGTTGCTAATTAGCGTGTAGTTATTTTTGCATTTTCGCGAAAGATTTGCCGTCTTTTCGGTTTTTGCGACGAAAAACGAGTATCAAGGTGTGCTAATTCTCGTCTTTTTGTCGCCCCGCAAAGTCGAAAGAACGAGAATTTAGAATTTTGATTCTCGTCTTTCCGCGACGAAAAGAAAAAAAATAACGCAATGGCACAAATCAGCCACTGTGTAATCGTCACACGCAAGTATTGGTATTTACACGCATATTGTTTGTTACGCTTCAGTTAGTATGTAACGCTAATGAACAAAATCCAATTAGAGTGTGCTTTCGTGATCACCCTTCATTTCTCCAAAGTGGAGCCATACCATGTACACAAATCATTGGGGCATGCAAGTAAAACAAACGATACACGATTGTACTTATTTCACACAAATTAATTTTGGGAGACCTTGATGTAACTATGATAGCTGAATGTGCAAGCTTAAAAACAATCAAGAAAATACTGACATATCAACAAACTTTTAATTCGAACTTAAATTTGATGTAATTATGGCAAAACAAGAACAAGAGACAGGTTCACATGGGGAGACTCCTGAAAAAGACCAGGTGTTCCGAAAGGGCTACCAATCATTATAACATAACTATACAAAACAATAACAGTGTTTGGAACACAAAACATACCTAAAACAAATCATAAAGTGATGGTGATTTATTGATTTTTTCCCAACAAAGCTGAATGGTGTATAACGTATATACTTGAAAGTTATTTAATTCTTACTGTCGATCATTAACATGAGACTATTGCCTTTAACAGATCAGACAGACACTCATTACTGCCGTCATGATATCCAAAGTGACAAGGCTGATCCTGATACTTATTCAAGGTCAGTATGTTTGTATAGCATTCAAAGTAAATGAGAACATTTATGTACGAATAGAGCCTACGACAATAAATTTAACAGTGTGAAAGTATGTTAACCAATAACTTAAAACGAAGTCAGAAATGTGACGGAAATAGAAAGTCTATTGCTCGAGGCAAAAGTGATAGACGACATATCAGACACAGACATCAACAAGTGTGCCGAATGTTGATATTAGTTCAAAGCAATTTGTTCTAAAAAATACATCAAAGAATTTGTTTTGGTTTCTGCTCTCAAGGACTGATGTAACATTGTTTCTTTGGAAAAGTCTATTTGAGTAAGAACAGTTGGAAGACTGCCAGCTACTTTTAAATATCATCATGATTTTACTATTTACAATACTATCATGATTTTACTATTTACAATACTATAATGATTTTACTATTTACAATACTATAACGATTTTACTATTTACAATACTATAATGATTTTACTATTTACAATACTATAATGATTTTACTACTTACAATACTATCACGATTTTACTATTTACAATACTATAATGATTTTACTATTTACAATACTATAATGATTTTACTATTTACAATACTATAACGATTTTACTATTTACAATACTATAATGATTTTACTATTTACAATACTATAATGATTTTACTATTTACAATACTATAACGATTTTACTATTTACAATACTATAATGATTTTACTATTTACAATACTATGATTTTACTATTTACAATACTATAACGATTTTACTATTTACAATACTATAATGATTTTACTATTTACAATACTATAATGAATTTCTTACAAATATCACCAATATGTTCACACATCATAATCGGTGCGTTATTACATATTTTTATTTCAATGCTCTGATTAACATACCCAGAAATCATCGAGTAAGGCTGTCATATCAACATTATCGTTTCTTATATAGTATTTTACAGTCAAGATTAAACAATGTAAATAATTGTATGGTCACTGTCAATTCCAATTAAACGATAAAATGATAAAAGATGAAATATGTGATAACGATAACAAATGGCTTAGCATTCCACTGCTATTAAGGACCGATGTGCGACTTCCAATCCTTTTAAATTTATAGTTCTGCTTGACTTATAGATATAAACGAATTTGATAAATTGTATTGTTTGTCGCGTCAGTTTTGGTTATAAATGATGTTGATATTATATACATGAATGAAGCTAATTCCACTATCAATAAGTTATACTATGCTTTCATGCTACATCCATTTATTTTTCTAATATTTATTTTGAAATATTTTCCAGTTAATCTATGTCGAGGAATTCCTTCGGACAGTTGTTTATAGTCGTAAAATACTGGGCATCTGAAATTATTTCACAGACTGAAGTTTAGCTTTAAGAAGACAAATAAATTAGTTTATTTATCCCACTCCAGAAGACAAATTCATGATTCCAAATCTATATATTACATCATGGTACTGTAGACATGTGCTGAGTTTTTCGATCAATGGAATTGTCTAGATATAGCTGTATTTAAACTACATAGCAGAAATGTTATTTAGTAATGAGGTGTTTCATTATCTTATCTTCAGTAAGCATTGTAGAGGGATGGTCGGCAGCAAGCGAACTGAATCTCCGGAGTACTTTGTTTGCTGCTGCTTCATATGACCGATTAGTTAGACCATCAGAGGCCATGTCTGTTAAAGTTGGAATCAGTCTGATATCTATTAACGATGTGGTAAGTTATAAACACCATAAGATGATAGGCTAAAGCATGTCTCATTAACCGATGTCTAGTTTACTTATTCCTTCAAAAGTCTACATCTACTTGCACTAATCCTACAATAGCCTACATCTACTCGCACTAATCCTACAATAGCCTACATCTACTCGCACTAATCCTACAATAGCCTACATTTAGTCGCACTAATCCTACAGTAGCCTACACCTAATCGCCCTAATCCTACAGTAGCCTATAGCTAATCGCCCTAATCCTACAGTAGCCTATAGCTAATCGCCCTAATCCTATTGTAGCCTACATGTAGTCGCCCTAATCCTACAGTAGCCTACATGTAGTCGCCCTAATCCTACAGTAGCCTACATGTAGTCGCCCTAATCCTACAGTAGCCTACATGTAGTCGCCCTAATCCTACAGTAGCCTACATGTAGTCTCCCTTATCCTACAGTAGCCTACATGTAGTCGTCCTAATCCTACAGTAGCCTAATCCTACAGTAACCTACATCTAACCGCCCTAATCCTACAGTATCCTAAAGTAAGCTACAGCTAATTCCACAGTAAGTTATAGTTAATCCTACATAAGCTACACTTAATAATACAAAAAGACACAGATAATCCCCAGTAAGATACAGCTAATCCTAAAGTAAGTTACAACTAACCCTACAGTAAGATACAGCTTATCCTAAAGTAAGCTACAACTAACCCTACAGTAAGATACAGCTAATCCTAAAGTAAGTTACAACTAACCCTACAGTAAGATACAGCTTATCCTAAAGTAAGCTACAACTAACCCTACAGTAAGATACAGCTTATCCTAAAGTAAGCTACAACTAACCCTACAGTAAGATACAGCTAATCCTAAAGTAAGCTACAACTAACCCTACAGTAAGATACAGCTCATCCTAAAGTAAGCTACAACTAACCCTACAGTAAGATACAGCTAATCCTAAAGTAAGCTACAACTAACCCTACAGTAAGATACAGCTAATCCTACAGCAAGGTACAGCTAATTCTACAGTAAAATACAGTTAATCCTAAAGTTAGCTACAGCTAATCCTACGGTAAGCTACAGCTAATCCTACAGTAAGCTACAGCTAATTTTACAGTAAACTAGTCGCTGTTATCCTACGATAACCTAGACAGATGCCCATCCTGCTTTCCACCGTCAAAAAATATACGAGTTACGTCCCATACTACAGCTTTGGAATCGTGTGTTAAACTGCGCATAGAAAAATACTCACTGTGTCTCCACTTATGGTGAACTTATAAAAGATTGTTTATATTCCATCACAGTATCTAGAAGGCAGTAATGCCAACATATTAGTTTCGTTAAACTGATGAACCTTTTATATACAAGATGATAAATGCTGTTAAAGCTGTTTGAGTTACTTCCCTTCACAGAAAGAAATAACGAGTTCCAGCTTTGGTTCCTTTCCATCATCAGAAGGTTTTAATCGGAATACTTCTATGACTCGTTTCCTAAAATCTCACTTGAAATGAAATCTCATTTAAGATCCTATATGTATGTCATAAATCTGGTCTTTCTGAACTTTTCCAATGATTTCGGTGTACTTCTTGCTTGCGTAAATGCCTTTTTCTTTTTTCTTTTTGTTTTAACTGCAATTAATTCTTCTTGTCAGCATTTTCTTTTTTTGCAAGCAGTAGTTTAGCTTGTCAAAGACCGATATCTTTCGACGTTATTTTACATAATATTTTTGAATATCAGACGGCATGGCATGATGTGCAGTAGCATGACAATTAGTTTTAGAATAGGAGCTTAGCTCAGTATGGTATATTTTCGTTGTGTTATAATTTATTTACCATTGTACATCCTGAACGGATCTAAGAGAAAATAAATCCAGATATGTGACAGAGTCATGAAAGACATCTAATACAACAGTCTCCAATATAGTGCTATAGACGCTCAAACATCCATACCGTAATCCCCAGTGTTTTATAAACGTACAATATTCCATATAGTAGCCCCCAATATGTTGCTATAAACGCGCCAATACCCAATACAACAGTCCCGAACGTAATGATACAAACGCGCAAACATCCCTTACACCCAAATATAGTGCTATAGGCGTATACTTATATTGATTCAAGTAGATATGTGCATCTTTCATCATACGCAAACATATTTGTTTATGAAAAAGTGCTTTGTCCTTCAGAGCATGGTGGACCAAAGCATGTCCGTGACGGGCTGGCTTACTGTGGTAAGTCTATTGATGTGTGTGACTTTTTGTAAATCAACGCACGGCTTGGTGCCTACTACATTTTTGTTTAGCGATATATCGCAGAATGGCAACTGATGTATTTCGGTGATAGTGTGACTATACGATTGCAATTAGTATGTACCCTGTATGTCACTAATAATAAAACATGTAGATATTTATTTTCTTTTTCATTCAAATAATATACCTTACTTAGGAGTGGGACGATTCCCGCCTTACATGGACCCCCGCATCATACACCAACACAGACCACTTCTACGCGTTAGATAAGGAGATATGGAAACCGGAACTGTTCATCGACAATTCGTGAGTATATCTTTACATTTTATTCCTTCGTATGTACACCAGATTCAGAAACAAGCTAAAGTGACGATTAAATACGGAAATGTCTCCGCTTTATTGCCCACACACGAAGAACCGTTTATATCAAATAACGACTCTTGTGTTTAGAGGTTTTAGATATTCGCAAGGACCTGAGAGTAGGGGGTTGGAGATGTGACATATCTTAACAATGGATTTATATCACAAAACTTTGGATGCTGATAGTATGTGACGGACGGGCCTCTTACATGTTGTTTAGTGCTGTAGCTCTCCTCAAAATGACCCTAGCTGTTAACGGAGCGATCAATCTAACAAACCAGCAAACAAAATGTTATGATTTGGATAACAATCAGTCACACTGGTTGAAATCCCTCCATTCTGAATAAAAAATCAGAACAGGTGTATCTTAGGTTCCATTTCTTTTGTATACAATGTATAACAATGTATGTTTCATTGTTAAAATTGACTAGTGCGTAATGTACTGTAATTGTTATAGCTTAATTGAACATTGTATGTTTCGTCGTTCTTTTAACTGTATTCTCATTTGGGAACATGGCATTACAAACTTGGGTCGATCAAACTTTACACGGCGGGTGTTATCGATAAAAGATGACATTTGCCCTTCCGGAACACCTGATACTTTCTCTTTGGCAGTTCTGTTGACCTCTTGATATTTTATTGTTGTTTCAGTATGGAGGATGTGTCGATACTGCAGGATGACAACCTTTTGTTTCGTGTGTCAGAAACTGGCCGGGTTGACTGGGAAATGCCACAGATCTTCATCACATCTTGTACCATTGATACCACCTACTACCCTTTCGATACACAGGAGTGTGCCATTGACGTAACTAGCTGGGCCTATACTCGGGATGAGCTCATACTTACCCATCTACGGAATTACGTAAACACCGAAGACCTTGGGTAGGGTTTTGATTTCGTGGGTATATTAGTTTAAAAATACAGATCTAGTTTAATAACACTACAAATTATTGAATACAAAAGTGTGGATGAAATCAGATTATTGTTCTGTCATTTCTCTCGGGCATGAAAGATTCAGCTAGTAAATATGTCTTGTGTCGTGTTTCTAAGGTCTATATATATACATCAGAGGAAGTTTGTCTTCTATCTATTGTTTCATGTTCGCAACTCGGAGCAGGCTAATGGTACTCCTTCCTCTTTGATAGACTACGTCCTACGTTCGACATACTTGTATGCTTTTATACTATATTATGTAGATGGAATAAAACAATATGCTTTTTAACAAAATAACTTTTCTCCCTATACGAAGCAAGCGTATAACATTCTTGATATGTTACTGTGCACTGAACCTCCTATTTTTCATCATTATTTAGTCCCAAATAACCATCTCATACCCATCGGTAATATAGAATGATAATTTTTCTGTATTTAGGGAAAATGGTGAATGGCTATATACAAACTCCAGGATTGAAACATCTAGTATTCAAGAGACAACAGCGAATGGTGTAGTGGAAACTTTTTCTCTCCTGAAATTCTTCATTATTCTGACACGGCGTCATGATTTTTACATGACAAACGTCGTACTCCCGGTTGTGCTTACATCCTTCCTAATTGTCCTCGTGTTTGTACTTCCGGTGGATTCCGGCGAGAAGGTGTCGTACGCCCTGACAGTACTGCTTGCCCTAGCCGTACTCCTGACTCTGATTGCGGATAGCATGCCCAACACATCACTGAATGTGTCTATACTTTGTAAGTATACTTCTGTCAACATCAAAACATTCATGAATTATGTACCATAATTAGTTAGAATAGAGACGGGACCTCCGCCACTGCCTCCATCAAGAATATCATATCCCCTTTAAATGAATTGTTTTATGGAGACATAGTCACCATTGGTGAATTGTATTTACACACGATCCTTATAGAATTTAAAACCATTGTCACATTCAAAATAGCGATTTTTTCAACCATGTACAAACCCTTGTTATCACTACTTCTCTTGAACTGAAAGTTAGTCTTTCCAAGGCAGGATTTTATTTACCATTGAGTTTGAAGAATCCCTGTCAGGTTCCTTTGTCTGTTAATCAAAATAAAAATTAGATAGAATAAAGATATTGTCGAGAATATTTGATAAAATGTGTGTGTGATACTTGAAAGTCTTACTTGGAATTGAAAGTTCAATACTTTGTGAAACGTAAGTCGATTTCATTTTTGACCCAGCAACAATTATGGACTCCTAAAGAAGTATGTGTCCATTGGTTTTCCTTTATTGTTAAAATTATCTGAAATGTATAAATGATATGGTCAGTTATGCCTTGTGATTTGATCACTTTCTGCAATTATATCTCTTATAGCTGTGTACCTGGCCTTCACATTGATTATGGGTGTGCTGGCTGTTGGAATGTCGGTAATAGTCCTCCGTATACATCACAAGGACAGCGCAGAACCAGTGCCATCCTGGCTACAGTCGATGACGGACAGAATTTTTGCTAGGTTTGGATGCTGGAGAGGGTGTTGTGGTCGAAATGATAACCGTGTTCAGGTCATTAACAAAGAATCAAACGGAACTGACGTAGTTCAGAATGAGGAGGCGAATATTTCGGAATCTTCACAATATATCATTCCAAGCTACTCCTGGGTGGAGGTAGCGGCCATTTTTGACTGGTTTTTATTCGTGTTGTTTTTCGTGGTGGCTTGCATTTCGGCTGTTACGTTCATGGTTGTTCTGAGGATTGGAGGGGCAATAAAAGCTGCAAATGCTTAACGGTTTTTACATTGAAGTGATGACTTGTCTAGCAAAATACGTACAAGACACTATGACGGATGGCCACAGAATCAAACCAGACCCTTAATGCTTTCCTCAGGGCTGTCCAAATTTCCACTGATGATCCCCTGTCTTCTTTACAGAGATTGACTGTTATTTTTATTCTGACACTTTGTTTGGTATGTTTTGACTGATTGTCAGTCTTGTTTACCTTGGCAGGCTTCATGTCTTTTTATCTTGATTAGTTGTCTGTCTTGTTAACCTTGACTGACTGTCTGTCTTGTTTACCTTGGCAGGCTGTGTGTTTTGTTAAGCTTGACTGACTGCCTGTATTGGATACTTTAACTGATTGTCTGTTTTGGTTACCTTGACTGACTGTCAGTCTTGTTAAGCTGGGCTGACTGTCTGTCTTGGTTTCTTTGACTGACTGGTTGTCTCGTTTACCTTGGTTGGCTTTCTGTCTCGTCTATTTTGACTGACTGTCTGTCTTGGTTACCTTGACTGACTGTCTGTCTTGGTTACCTTGACTGACTGTCTGTCTTGCTAACCTTGACTGACTGTCTGTCTGGTTATCTTGGCTGGCCTTCCATCGTGTTAACCTTGACTGACTGCATTGTTTTCCTTGACTGACTCTGTCATGTTTACTTTGACTGATTGTCTTGGTCAGTTGCACTTGCTGTCTGTCTTGGTTACTTTGACTGATTGTCTTGTTTTCCTTCAATGACTGTCTTGTCTCTCTTGATGAACTGTTATCTTTATTGCTTTGACTGTCTGTCTGTGGTTGGCTGTTTAGTTGACTTGTAGGATCTGCTTATCTGGTGTGACTGACTTACTTTTTGTCATCTTTACTTTGACTGACCTTCTGTCTTAGATAATTTTACTTCTTTCTCTCTAATATAATTTGACTGACTCGCTGTCAGACGTGTATCTAAAAAGGCTCCACAACAAACTATACAGATGACCTTAAGTCTAAATATCCTTTACACTCCCAACAATTGATCATATAATGTAAATGTTGTATTCTTGAAATGTTCACATTTGTATGGTGTACATAAAACATTATGCATACTATAAGTAATATTTGTTGAGGTCATGAAAGTAGACAATTGTTTCCTTTATTAACTATGTTCTTTATTTGTGTTTAGTTGTGATTTATTCAATACCAAACAAATAGATAATATTGCACTTTGAAAATATCAACCTTTAATATAACTAACTGTATTGAGAAATATTTGTCATCTCTGTTACTGCTGGCTCCTTCACGGTTTGCAGTAGATATTTGTTTGTTTCATTAAGCACCAATGGAATATGTTTTATGTTCAAAGTGAGATTAAAATTGAAAATACAATTTCTAACTTTCAAACTTTCCCCATTTGAATAGGAGCTTTAGTCAATATCAAGTTGAACCATGCCTTCCTATTGATTATTTATGATTGACTTCTGGTTAGTCTGTAAATGCTTAACTGTACCAGTTTATCAAGTGAAATAAAAATGCTATATTGTTTATGGTATTAACATGTATATATCATTATTGACCGTATCACCATCACTTATTTCCTTTTGATATCATTGTTTTCATCAGGTGTGGTTGTAACTTTCTTCCAAATCAATATGAAACTTTTCACCGTTTTGTTGCAGAAGATGATTTCTACTAATTCAAAATGATACTTTTTACCGTTAAGATACGATGTACTAATTTAAAATGATACTTTTTCCTGTTAGAATAAGTTGTACTAATTCAAATTGATACTTTTTTCCGTTAAGATAAAATGCACTAATTCAAAATGATACTTTTTTCCGTTAAGATAAGATGTACTAACTCAAAATAATACTTTTCCCTGTTAATATAAGATGTACTAATTCAAAATGATATTTTCCCCGTTTTGCTGCGTAAGATGATTTCAACTAATTCAAAATGATACTTTTTACCGTTAAGATGTGTTGTGCTTATTTAAAATGATACTTTTTCACGTTAAGATAAGATGCACTAATTCAAAATGCTACTTTTCCCCGTTAATATAGGATGTACTAATTTAAAATGATACTTTTTCCTGTTTGGTTGCGTAAGATAATTTCTACTCATTTAAAATAATACTTTTTCCCGTTAAGATAAGATGTACTAATTTAAAATGCTACTTTTTCCCGTTAAGATAAGTTGTACTATTTCAAAATGCTACTTTTTCCCGTTAAGATAAGTTATACTAATTCAAAATGCTACTTTTCCCCGTTAAGATAAGTTATACTAATTCAAAATGCTACTTTTCCCCGTTAAGATAAGTTATACTATTTCAAAATGATACTTTTCCCGTTTTGTGATCTTACTTGAGATGCGTGGATGTATTGTCGTTTCTTTAATGTGTAACAAAGTTATTGCTACTCCATGGAATATTTACAAATTTTGAAAACAAATGCAAAGTATGCAAAATTGAAATAACAAAATAGATATCTTAATAACAATGCCAAAATAATATTATATGGACTAATTAAATATTTATTCTGTCAAAGAATCTGCCCTAGTTGTTTTGTTTGTGATGGACGATGTAAATATTTACATAATTTAGATAAGTGTTAAAATATGTCACCACTTTCAACACTCAACAATTTTGGGCTACATTACCTATATCACATTTAAACATGGATCCAACTTTGGTCTCATAATCTTAATTGAATTAACTTCAGTATAGCTTTAAATGCACTCTCGTTAGTTAAGATTCAAGATTTGAACAATATTTTCATTCAAGGAAACAAACAGAATCGTAGTCTATTCAAACATTCATACCCCTTCTGTGATAATTTGAAAAAAATAGTTTCCTATAACTGATATCACTCTTCATGAAATAATTTTATGCCATATCGATACGCACTCTTATTTGACTTTCTGTTCGGAGAGTTGCTTCTACTAGTCAAACAATTACATTTAATTAAAAAGATATTATTATCAATTTCTTCTTCGGTTTTACCTAGAACTACCATTTATGGTTGCATGCACAATATCTATGTTGATATCTGAGTATATGGTATATTGATATTACTTGATGATCAGATAATTTCACAATTCTTGTCTACTTCCAAGTGCCAGAATTAAACGAACAATCAAAAGTAACACCAATACTGTGTAAAATAAATTACTTTATTCCAAGCAATCACATACATCAATTCTCTGTGCATCAATTACACGGAGTGTGGTGGATGACTATCCTCCTATTTCCAGTTTTGCAAAGATGTTGCAAGCTGATGAATAATTTCAAAGCAGGAAAAACGACATGTAATAATTTGACGACTGAGGAGTTGTATTGTCGCCATTCTTTGAAAAAAAGCTTTACAACAGAAGAAACTTCACTTTTTGTTTTAGGAAAACTGACTCCCTTAGCACCTGCGCCTTAGTTCACAAATCTTTCCTTTGTGCATATTTTCTGTTATTCTATATTTTGTTACATTAATTATGATTATGTGAACGGAATAGTACTTTCATGTCCCCCTTTTTCAAGCAACATCTTCTATGGATTCTTTAATGCTAACGTAATAGATGATTCAGATATGAGTGTTAAACATCTTTGTGAACTAGCGGGACCAAGTTGTATATTAGTCCATTAGCTGAGGAGGTTTTATTTTTTATAGTTTGAACCTATCAAAGTGACTATCTTTTTAGATACTAATGTTTAAGATTACTAATTCGCCACTGTCCTTGAAGTTGCACATTAATCTTATCCTGTGCTGTCTGTCAATAACAAGGAGATTCGGCGATTTAAACGCGACAAATTAAAACTAAGGGTGTCGATAGTGTGGTTGGTTGCCATAGGGATATTATGTAGAAATTTTATTTTATTTCCCTGGCTGACGTAAGGCGCGAAAGTATTTGTCCATGACTCTACTGTCAGGTGTCGTTTTTGATTGTTTTTAATTTTTAATGTAAATGACTTGATACTAATGTGACAGTTATTCGAGAGAAGTGACCTGTACACTACATTATATCAGACCGAGACGACTCTGGGCAGACGTTTCGGCCCTCCTGTGTCATCTAGTTTAGTGTAACACGTGTATTATACACTTTCGGCAATATCAAGGTTGTTGGTGTGCACATCGGACTAAACAGAAAACGGTAAATGCTGATTTTATCATTGTGTGATGTTACAAAAGACCTAAGGAAATGAAGTCAGTTAACCGGAGTAAAACATGGCTTCAAACCAAACTTAATGAAACAAAGTGAAGGATAATTCAATCAATATCCACATGCACATAAAACTCTTATGAAAATAGGGGGAATGCTGAATAAGTTGGTATTATCTGATATAATCAGATGTTCTGGCTTGTTTACCTGAAACATTTGCTTCTACATATTACATATTTTTCACCTGTTTATCTCCGTGATAATTTTCATGTATATATAAGGAATTTATAAAAACAGTTCTGGTAAGTAATGTACCAGGTAGTTCTTTGGATACCTATTATTTCCATGATTTTACACGGTTGATTGTGGCACATCATCAGGAGTTAGCCAGAATATGCGTTCCCGGTTCGGATCGTTAAGTTGGATACGATACGTCACATCAGGGATTTCCACATTACGTGTCTTTTTCTTGTGACCTGTAATACATTTGAAATTGACGATAATGATACACGTTAGAGTATAAGACAAAGTACAAGCAAGAAATTATTATTATCTAAAATAAGGAGTTCATGGTGATGTAACACTAACTACGTTCAGTTCAAAGACATTTGAGTGTTGTCCCACGTGAAAGTCACATTTGGTGTAAGGCAAGGCGTGTCGGTGTGGTAAAATATCAGATGAATGAGATATATTTGGTAAAAGGGAGACAATGCTAGTGTGGTTTAGGAATGGGCAGATCAGATACACTAGGTCAAAGTGGTCTATCCAATAAATTGTTTCATAGGACACATTTGGTACAGGAAGGCAATGTTAAAATGGTAAACGAATGGTTTGCTAAGACACAATTGTTACAGGAAGGCGAGGTTAATATGGTAAACGAATGGTTGTATTGACACATTTGGTACAGGAAGACGAGGTTAATATGATATAAGAATGGTTTGCTAAGACACCATTGGTACAGGAAGGCGAGGTTGATATGGTAAACGAATGGTTGGATGGACACAATTGGTACAGGAAGGCGAGGTTAATATGGTAAACTAATGGTTGATGGACACAATTGGTACAGGAAGGCGAAGTTAATATGATATACGAATGGTTTGCTAAGAAACAATTGGTACAGGAAGGCGAGGTTAATATGGTAAACGAATGGTTGGATGGACACAATTGGTACAGGAAGGCGAGGTTAATATGGTAAACGAATGGTTGTATGGACAAAATTGGTACAGGAAGGCAAGGTTGATATGATATACGAATGGTTTGCTAAGACACAATTGGTACAGAAAGACGAGATTTATATGACTACGAATGGTTTGATAGGACCCAATTGATACAGGAAGGCAAGGTTAATATGATTACGGAAGATTTGATAGGACACATTTTCAGTATACGCCTGTATACAACATCGACGGAATTAAGGTACGGAAATAGATTTTATTACGTTCAAAATAAAAGTGTTTTTAATGAATAAATGCTAGAAACAGTACGATAGAATAGAAAATGAAAGCATGCAAGAAGACAGGTGGCATAACATCTTGATACTGTTATCTGAAGTAAGTCATATCAGTCAGAGGAGAAAATAAAGTTAGTCACCAGAAAAAAACTTGTGTTCTGGACTGTGATATTAGAGGGTAAGAGTGCTGTGATTATTTGGTGTCACATTGTTATTGTTGATACAAATACAAACCTGTATGAACCTTGTTCTTTCGTTTTGTACATGTATAGTATAACTTCTCTAACTCAATACTAACATTATCCTAATTGTAATGTAACTGACAAATGAGAAAACAGGGCTGGTTGAATGTACCTGAGAATAAAATATATGGTTATTCTTTCTCCCAGCGACACAGATTAACTTCGACTACAGTAAATATCAACATATTTCTGAATGACATCGCAAACTTAATGTGACAATTACTGACTGATTACTGGAGTGACACGCCATTGGTGAAGGGGTCATTGATTGTGAGACACACATGCGACATTGGAAAAATGGTTATTTACTTAGATCTAAAGAGAGAGCATCATGTGACGTCATCGGCTTCAGTGTCGTCTAAAGTTAGGGAAAGATAGATTAAATGATATTTACCAGCAATCTGTCAAACTATATGATAATAGAACATATAACATAATCAACATATGGTGGAATATAAACCAGTCAAAACACATAGGAATCAACATTAAGTAATATCATATACCCCATTGTCAATACATATTAATAGAAAATGTCCGGTGTCAACACAGAAGAATATTTTTACTCCATGGTCAACCCATGGCAATAGACTATACTTCATCGCCAAGACATTATGAAAGGATATGCTAAATCGACAACACATCATGATAACATATACTGGGAATCAATGCTTGTAATAGAATATATCCTTGAATCAGTACTTGGCAATAAAACCGGTATAATCAGAGGAAATTGTCATCAACAAATATTAACAAAATATACTCCATCGTCAAAACTTGATATATTATATTATGTCGTCAATACTTGATAATAGATAATGTATTCCATTGTCAACAGTTGATAATAGAACATATTCCATTGTCAATGCTTGATAATAGAACATATTATATCGTCAACAGTTGATAAACAACATATTCCATCGTCAACAATTGATGATAGAATATATTATATCGTCGAAAATTGATCATAGAAAATATATTCCATTTTCAAGAGTTGATAATAGAACATATTCTATCATCAAGACAGAATAAATTCCGGAATTAGCACATGGCTGTTCAAGATATCACGGCATCAACACATAATGATATGATACATTATGACAACATGATAAACATATCCCAGCATCAACTCATAACTATATGCTATACCCCAGTAACATTACAAAATGATGTGTTATGCCGCATCGTCAACCAGGTACCATTAACATAATTTGTTTTTCCCGCTATCGAACTATAAATTTTTCTGAAAATAAATGTTCAATTTCTAATTATCAGATTATCTATCTTTGTAGCCACTAATTGTCCGGCCATCCAATATCTCGACAGCATCCTTATACGTGATTGACTGGTTTATTCAAAAATATAAAACACGTTTGCTAGGATACATTACATTCGGTAGCTAGTGGCATTTCCGGTGTTCATATTTATCATCCAAATACAAATCGAAGAATTTCACCTCGATGGATGTTAACTTTATCTGAGCACCGATAAAGACTGTTCCGTATTGCGTACGTATATTTCATTAAATCGACTGAGTTGATTTAAAATAGTAATATGTGTGCACCCGATCCTCTCACGCAATTTACGTATAAACTTAGTAATGAGAAACACTTGAATTAATATTTTACAGACGTATACCCAACTGCTGCCAGTATTGATTATATCAATACTTTAGACAAGTGTCTCCCCGTAACGATTACGTTCGTTCTTGTAACGGTTCAATTTGCCAGCCTTATCTGTCTTTGCCACCTGTAAATACTTATTAACTGTGAATGACTGTTGCACTATTCCATACCTGTTGGGTCTTCGGAACTTACTTGATTACGTTTTCAATAAATGGCTATTTCTAGCTAAAGACGTCTTATATTCTAAAGTTACAGTATACCATAAATGCAGTAGACCGGATATAACCAGCCCGAGATTTCTATCAATGCTCATATACAAATATGATTAATTGTATCGGTGTTTTTAAATTCTTTCCGTAACATAACATTTACCAGGGGTTCTGTTGTGTGATAATCGATTACCTGTAATCAGCTGTCTGTTACCTGGGATAGACTGGGTTTTCTTAGCTTTTGAGCAATCAATTAATCAGCGTTTTATAAATCGGTATTCACTGACTGACTAATCCAATATAGATTTCAAATTTCCTGGTGGTCATATATTTAGTCATTCTAAATTGTTCAGCGCTATACAAATAAAGTTACTGCATGTTCTTTCCTTAGCCCATAACACACAAACGGTTAAGGGTTTAGTGCAGAGTATTGTCCGCATGCTCCTCAAACCAAAACACAAAAATATATGTAAACTGACAGAAAGTTTGGAATACACATTAAATAGTTGTAAATCTGTTGATAATACATAATTGATTATCAAGGGAATGCAATGTTGCGAAAATCATCACACAAATAATAGGTAATTAAGGTAAAGGAAATTCCAGGTCTTGGATGGTGTTCACAGTATTAATGTCACGCCTTTCCTTCTGCAATGGTGGCGCAGTAGAGATACTGACCATATTCATTCGAAAGCAAAGTCCTGGTTATTAAATATCAATACACGTATCTTTATTTGCTATTATTTAACTCGATTTTCTGAAAATAGATATCCTTCATACGAAACCCTCAATGAAATTATAATAATGTTTATGCCTTAAGAAAAGCGCATTAACGTTGTGTTATCATTTCCGGGACAGCAAATATATAGTTATCGCTACTAGTATTTCCCCAGAAATTCTGTTGTTTCCCACATTCTAGTAGTGTCATATTCCCCAGGGTTAAAAGTACCAACTGTAAGGAATCCAGCGACTGCTCGAGGAAGAACAAAATCTCGATCGATTGAATGGAGTAAAAAGTTATGATGACCACGAGAGTTTATAGGGAGCAGATCATGTTGAATATAGAATAATAATAAGATATAAACAGGATAATGTCACGTGGGTGTTTAATTGTGTAGATATGTTCTAAAAGCTTGCACATGAATTTAGGCACTTTACACATAGCAGGCATGAAAAATAATTACTCCCTATTAAACAAGTAACTGCCTGAAAAATTGCATTTCATTTCATATCCTTAATGATACAGCGAAGTCCATGGATATTCATGTTCAGAAACTGATGGAAGTTATTGAGCTATTATGGGTTTTATTTGAGAAAGAAGACACGCGAATTCCTAGCCATTTTAATATATATCAAAATTTAGATTGATTAATAAGACAAGTCTATATTGTCGTTTTATTAACATGATTTATTTTAGCCAAAAAATTGCAACAGTTATGCATTTCATATGTATCAATTTTGAATCCATACACCTTTGTATACACACTAAACCCTTAACAGGATATTAATGAAATATAAAAATGTCAAATATGTTTCCGAAAGTGATAAAATAGTAAATATGCGTGCACATTGACTTGCTTCCACAATTCAATTGAATCATGCGATACACGTTTGTGGTTCAATAACTCTCCAACATTTCCTTTGTTATTTTTTCTATAGGGTATTTGTATTAAATGTTCGCTGCTGAGTATCATCACCATAGGATGTAGAATGATCTCTGTTATAAACAACTATGGCTGACATGGTCATCAAATATTAATTGTTTTAAAGGATATGACAAACGAACTATTCAAACCCGAAGGCTACAGTCATTAATGGTAAATTTAGCACGACAATTGTGTTTAATAATAAAATGGTAAAGTACTTGTCATCGACTCCGTCTGACATAGATAATTGGTCCAACTTAACCACTTTATCACCAATAACACACGAATGTTGTAAGGAAGGCCTGCC